CTCTATCAGCCTCTCATGTCCCTTTTTGTCTGGACCAGCTGAGGAGCGAGCTCCTGTATCTGTTGACACGTGACAGGATCCCCCTAGCTCTTTAGTTCTATAATAATGGCATTCGTTCTACGTAAATTGATTTTAGTGTCAAGTAACCAAGGTTTTCAGTAAGAGTGGCTTGCATAAACATATTGCACAAAAATGTTTCCCTGTTGTTAACTCCATTCTCTTCCTTGCAGTTGCTTCAGATTCTCTCCTGGCCTGCCAAAATAGATTTTCAACATTCAAAAATTAAAAAGATAGCAATTAATTTTATTTTTTTTTTTCTGGGAAGAACGAGCTTTACAGTTTTAAAAAAGAAAATATTTCAAGGTAAGTTTCGAGTTGAGGAAAGTGAGAGGCAAATCATTTTAGATCAACTGAAAATGAAAGCCCTTAATGATTTGTTTCGTCACTAAGTTAAAATTTGCACAGCTGTCATAATAAATCATCAGAATACCCGACTCTGTCACAGCAGTAGTCATGCCATGAACCCTTCCTTACAAAATCCCCTGCTCGTGCACATCCCCAAAGTAGGTGTCTTTCAAGATCAGACAACTGCTCGGAGTTGAGGCTGGGCAGGGGGAAAAAAAACATTAAAAAGGGAAGACAGATTATATCTGTCGTAAATCGCTCAAAACCTCTTCTAGATAAACAAATATGTTGACCTTGAAGTGACATTTTGGCAAAGCCAGGAAAGTCTGGTCCCAGGCTGTGTGATGCTTTTTGCCTCTTTTGTGATTTTGTAATTGTATTTGGCAACTATTGCGTGCATGTCAGTGGCCAAATGAAGCTCAGCACAGAATGGTGCAGCCACGAGTCAGTCACGAAGCTGGATGCTCCTGGTGACGGTGCAGTGATGCTTTCTCCTGGAAAGTCATTCCTCAGGAGTGACTACAGGGAGCAAAAGGGGAGTCTCTGACTCCGTCCGCCCTCTAGAGCACCGTTCCTGTGTGCTGGTCGTGTTCACCGTGAATGAGCGACGTGCCTGGGCCTGGGCAGAGGAAAGGCAGTGAAACTGCTGCCAGGGCCGTGCCGCTCCTCCAGCAGAGCTGAGCCACGGCAAAGCCAAACGATCCACATCTCTCCACATCGGAGACGAAAATAAGCATCTTCAGGTGACGTCCATCAAACCTTGTCCTGGGAATCGAAGCACTTGTGGAAACACCCCAGTGAAAACGGTTGCCTAAAATGTTCAGATGTGGTCTCGCTTGTGTTCGGTTCAGGCAGGCGGCGGTTTCAGGTGCGAGGGTGTCCCGGGTGCCGCGGGGTCTGCGCGAGGGCCTGGCACGGGGGACGCGGGCTGCCCTTGGACCACGTGTGCCTGGCGCTGCTCAGGAGCCGCCCTGCCCGCGGCACAGGCAGCCCGCGGTGTTTCCTGCAGAGCTTTCGCTTACAGTGCAAGGGAGAGAGACAAACTGTGCCCGAGCTCGTCATGAACATCTTAACTTTGTGTACTAGAGGCAACGCCTAAATGGGCGAATTAAATGTAATCTGGTTTTATTTTGCATTTAATTTTGTTTTCTCATTCTTCCCTAGCCAGGTTTTATTCCAAGATGCACGCGTGCCCATGTGGCGTGTTCTGCAGTCATAGCAATTTGGCTCTAGTAAAGTCTGACCCTGTGAATTATTACCTTAAGCTTAGTAAACTGGTCATATGGGTTTGGTCCTCTGCGTGGCTTTTTAGATTCTCGTAAACGCTCCTGTTGCCTGGCACTGGGATGTCATCAGCCAGTAGAAAATGGAAGAACACGCTAATCTTCCGCTCTGTGCGGCGAGACGCAGGCGGCGCTTTCAGAGGTGAAGGGGGAGGCAAGGCAGGACTGCAGCGGTTCCCGCCGGCGTCCCTCGCAGCTCGCCGCGGCTGGCGATGAAGGAGGCGGTCGCTATGGGTTACCCTGGCAGTGCTGCAAAGGAGCCTGGGTACTGTTTCAGGCCTCATCAGGTGACAGCGTACAGCTCTCTTACCTCACACCCCGTTCCCTATACAGAGAATGACTGAAGCTGCCAGTGATTTTTCCTCCTTTTGTGTTTTCACGCTTACCACCCCTTCAAAGGTAGCAGAGTAAAGCAGAATTAAGGAAGCATAGCCTGAGCTGTAGGGGGGAGGCCATACTGCTGCTGGTCGTTGGTGTAAAGAAGCGTTATTTCAGGAAATTTTCTGGAAGCGGACACAGGCTTCCACAGAGGACTCTAGTTGGATCTATTTTACTGTAATACTTGCATCTTTGTATAATTTTCACGGCCAATAGGGAGAACACGGAGCTGAGTGAGCGAGCTATTATATTCTCAAGGTTTTCATTATCTCTGAGTCTACATAATGAATGATTTTTATATAACTTTGGCATTGGAAGCAATCTCTCCACCAGGTGTACTAGTACTGCCTTCATGGCAACTGCTGTTCTGGTATTGCCTGTGCGGTGCTTTCACCATAGAAAAATGTCCAGATTAAACAGGGTTTTAAGGTTGTTCTGGTTGTTTTGTTTGTTTGTTTTGTTTCAGGGGTTTTTTGTTTGTTTTTTTTTTCTATTAGAGTAAACTGAAATCCTTTATCGGGCAGCAAAACATAAATACACAATCTTAGAGTAATTTCTTCCCGGTATACTGTACTAATGAGGTTGGTGAGCTCTGATGAAAGCTCCTGCACTATAACAGCAGAACTGCAATTGTATTAACTGAGACACTGAATAGTGAAGAAATGCTTTGGCTGTATTCAGCTCTGGGCACTGGTGTCACCTTGTTCTTGCCCACGAGTACTTTGGTATGCCTCGTTTCCAGCTCTGTTAGGTACTTACAGATCCCCCTTTCACTGCCTCGCAGTCTTTGCTGTATTTATCATCTTTACAGCCATCCTCTGAAGGAGGAAAACAAGATTTTCCTTGTTTTGCAAAGAATTAGCAGAGTCATGGAGAAATTTAGACTGTGTAGTTCTCAGGTCTGTGGCAGCAGCGGCTATAAATTTATCCAAGTTGGTTTGTTTCAGCTGTCGTCGCTAGACAGTGGTAGCACGCACGCATTGCAGTGCACACTTCACTTCTGTTAACTGAAGACACAACAGGGTCCCAGGAAGGCTTTTTACTACATAAGAGGTCTCCATCCATTAGTCCATCATCAAACTCAATGGAATTTGGCTTGCTTTTTTCAAAATAAGGTCTTAGTAACTAGGATCAGATAGAATAAACCTGTTTAGAAACTTATTCTGATGTACCAAAATGCTAGCAACCACAGCCCCTGTGTGACACAGAGGCTCATGAAGGATGCTCATGAGGGGTTCCTCAGCTGAAGGTCATAAATTTTCATACTTTAACTAAATGCTAATTTGTAGAATTATCCTTTCCTCCTAGTAGTTCTTCTTTAAACTACCTGGACTAATCTTTCTTCTTTCCCATCAAAATTGTGGTCTAAGATTGGTGTGAGTGAGTAAATGATTGTCTCTCTAGCCCTCCATGACCATATTATAGCGAGGAGCACTCGATAATGCCTGGAAACATCTGAACACCACGTTCAGAGAAAGGGCTAGAAGTGCAAAGCCTTGTTAGGAATTCAGATTTTGGACAGATATTAGAGCACGTTTTATTTTGGAAAACATCCTTTCTCCGATGAGATGCCCTGCATTTGTAGCGCTTGAATGTTCTGGTGTTTTTACTGGCTCCGTATGGGCCACGATGCTCTCCTTGCCTGGAACCCCGCTGTCCCATGGCACAGCACCAGCGCTGTACAGCTAGCCGAGACGGCAGAGTCTCCTCTGGGCTGTGGTGAACTACTGCAGGAAGAATCTAACCCACGCAGAAAATTCCTGATATTTGGGTTACTATGGGACAGCCAGGTTTGAAGCTGAGGCCCTGACTGCTGCGCACGATGAGAAGGGCACCGAACCTGGGGCTGGGATCTTGCTCTCACTGGTGCCAAGGGGATGGGGGCTAAAGATTGGCGTAGTCATTCCCAATTTGTAACAGTATAATAAAGAGGAAGACTCTTATCCATCCAAGGATCACGTTGCCCTGCCAGTATCTGCAGGAAAACTCTGACACGCAGGGTGCACTTCAAACAGCGGAGCGGAGCGGGTCGAGCAGTGTTGTGTTTCCAGCTCAAACTAACAGTGGCTGAGCAGCGATCCCCCCACGGCAGCTGTGGCAGTCGGACTCCCCAGCCCATCCTGCAGCAGCTCTCTGCGGCAACACACGTTAGGTGTGTGGCAGAGCGCCAGCCGTACGCTCAAGGAGAGGCGTGCAGCTGATGCAGCGTTTCAGGCAGGGAGCAAAGTGCAGAGCGGAGCAGCGCACAGTTAAGAGTTGCCCATCGTGGCTCCGGCTCCAGGGCCATCACGAGCCTGTGGGAGTCTCAGGCCAGAGGCCAAGATTTGGTTCCACTCCCAGAAAAGTCAACGAAACCCATTTAAAGTGGAATGATTTGATCCTGTAGTGCATGCTGAGTGACTTGCCAGCGTTACTATTAATAGCGTGGGTTTATCCCAGGTACAAGCTAATGGAGCGCAGAGCTACAGCATTTCTGCGTAGCTGATTAGTGGAACCCTGGACTGAAAGATGCTGACTGTCCCGTGTGGGCAGGATCTCACTTGGTTTCAGAGTCTGACTGCCTTTGGGAACTGCCTAAACATTTTTCTATTTAATCAATCCCTTCCCCTACTGAAAGAAGAAAAGCCCTACGTCAAACAAAGTGGCAGCTAAAATTTGGTGACCCCGTCAAGGACTTCAGGACCTGAGTTGTCACTGGTGTCTTTTATGTAGAAAGTGTTAAGATAACAGGGTGCTAAAAAATGACACAAGCTAGAAAAAAGGGCAGGAGCCACTCTGTGTTGGGAATGTTAAACATCACACAGCGCGTGGTTCTGACTGTGCAGGATTTCTTTTCCCCGTCCCCTTCCCTTAAGTTTTCTTAAACCACAAAACTTTTGCCTTTCTTCTCTAGTTCGCAGACAAGCAAAGCAAACACAGAAATAATCTCCAGAGATGTTCTGCAGATATTTTTGCTTCTTCAGTTTGTGTCTTTTCCTTCCAACCCAAAGGTAAGCAGAGTGTTTGTTTTGTTTTACAGGGAACATCTGAATTATGTTTCATATAAATAGTGTGGGTCAAAAGGAAACTATGCTTCCAATTATCCAGCCCATCCAAAGAAAGCTGGGCGCAGTAAGGGATGCGGCACAGAAGAGAGCACCCTGTGTAGGTCCCCAAACACAGTATGTACGTTACGAGTGCAACCCCTTATTTCCTGTTCCCGACCAGAATAGTTTGCAGTTTTCACTGGAAATGCCCCCCGCCCCCCCGCCCCCCAAGTCCTAAATTTCTTGAATGGTTTATGTTGTGCACTAACTGGTTCAGTTCTGCTGTGAGGTCCTTTTTGGTCTAACACCTGCTGCAAAGCTCCAAGGACTGCTAACTCAGCTTTAAAGGGAGCAGAAGAAAAAAATTCATCAGAGCTTTGAGTAACTACATTGCTACGTTCCTTATTGCACCGACCAGTGGTCCTAAGACTGGGGAGAGGCAGAGGCACTGCCTTCCACCTCCTTCAGCCCTTCTCAAAGCAATGACAAACTCTTAACGAGGCACTCATTTACATTTTCGTCAAGTGAGTACATGACCACACAGGGACACTGCACCATAAAACTTAGCTTTTCCAGTCCAACCCCCCTGTCCCTCTAGCTGTCTATATGACGGTACAGGTCTGTGAGCCTCCTAATGTCAGGCACTAATTTTACTGTCCATCCACAAAACATTAATTTTGACATTGTAAATGAGAGTTGAACGCTCTGTATGCGCAGCAGCTAGGGGTGCTTCAGCCCGCAAGGCTTTGTTGGCGTCTGTGAAGCGCTTAGTGCTTTACCTTTCCCGTTTGGGGTACTCAGAGGTTTTATTCCTGACAGTCGCTGTAGGGATGCTGCCTGACGCTAACATATGAGGATGAAAGCTTCTTTAGGGCACTAGTGATTAGGGAGGAGGGGCTGTTGGTCAGCAAGATTTGTCTCAGGCTGTCATAAGCAGGAGGAAAAAGAAATACATGTTCCTTACATAGACTGTATGAGGAGGAATGGGAAGGGGGAGATTGCGGGTTATTATTAGGACTTGCGATACATAGACCTTGCTTGATTTGTCTGGGACGTTTTAAGAATGTCCTTAAGCTACCATGTGTGCAAACCTGTAGCTATCAGCTGAGGTAATTTGCTGTTTTCCCACCTCTTCGAGGTGCCAGTTATTCAGCCAAGATAAGCAATGTGAGCAAGTGCTCATGATTTCAATGATCTGCTTATTTTTAATACGTGTTTTATGCAGTTTGTTTGCTTGTTTGACCACAAGCTGGAAACACGGCTGCAGCTGCACACCAGATGTGCCCAGCATGCCTGGCCACACGTAACAGTACGTATTTGTGTCCCCAGGAGGTGCTCCCTGGGTCGCATATCCGACTTGCGCGGCAGCGACACAACATCCCTCCCTGGATTTGAGAACCTCACCATGGGATACAACAAATACCTCAGGCCCTACTTTGGTGGTATGTTGACTCCATGCATTTTTGACTGTTTGAAGACGAGTTTGTAAGGCTTGTGGGGAGGAGAGAGCATGCTTTGAGCTTTTGTTTGGGATGCCCCAGTTTAAAAGGCTGTGTTCCTTTTAAATTAGTTAGTAGCCAAGGCTGCCCTCCTTTCTGTGCGTCCACTGTTGTCTTGAGTAGATTGTGCATGCACGTGTGGGGCGTGAGAACATGCCCATCTATCAGGTTAAGAATAGGAAATTTATAAACTCCAATATCTCTGTGAAAGACCTGATGGAATAATAAATTCTGCTCTAATTGGTACATGCTTTTGTTTAGAATCTGATCCTTGTGATTTTCTGCTTTATTTTTGTTCCTGTGTATCTATTTAGTAGATTGCAGCTATAGAGGAATAAAGCCGTTCTCCTTGCCAGAAATACCGACTTCTGACACGTGGTTTCACTTTGCACTGAGACACAAACTAAACCTGCTTTAAACCCTCGTGAAACTCTAGGGAGTAGGGAGCACCTGAAGGACAGCCAGGTATTTAGGAACTTACCTGAGGCTATAGTCCAATTTGGGTGTGAGGTCTCCCACCTTCCAGGTGCGTGCTGTACCCACTCAGAGGACAGCGTTTCTCAGAATGACATTCAGCACCTGAAAAATATCGATGAAAGTTTAAAAAACAGCTATGGAAATTTTTAATTTAACAATTTTGCTTCTCTGCCAGGGCCCATTAATGAAACTATGCCCAACAGAAAAATTCCCCATCAGCTTTCAGCAG